AGAAAACGTCGTGGAGATAATAATTAAACATAACCATATTGTATTCTTTATAGTATTTCCCAAGATTACATCATTCCTTGATCAGCCAATCACAGTCAACGAAAGCACCTCTCTTATTCTACCATGCAATGCCACAGGGTACCCAAGCCCTGATATACAATGGGTAAAAGCGAATGACTCTCTTGCAGAAGATCGTCATACCTATAACGGCCAGTTTCTGAATGTTAGCAATGTTGTGTACGAAGACCGAGGGGTGTACACATGTTTTGCTAATAACACCGTTGGTGTGGTCAATAGGAGCGTCGAGGTTGTTGTACAAGGTAGCGCACTATAAAGATGACTGCTAAACGGCTGATAAAACAGCTTATATTTTTTTTTCTGTTTATCATTTCAACAGTAAGTCCCAAGATTATTCAAAGACCAAGCAAATTTGAAACTGGTTACTTATCACTTTCAAAACGTCTCAATTTTCAAGTTTTCTCGTTTCCTGAAGCAACTATTTCGTGGACGAGACCTTTGTGGACTCTTCAACATGACGAGAGGTTTACAGTTGCGAATGGAAGTCTTGTCATAAGTAACGTTACGAGCACTGATCTTGGACTCTACGAAGTAGTGGCCAGGAATTTACTTGGAGAGGTCAAAGCATCGACATTTTTGGTTGTGCAAGAGCCAGGTAATCGTCTCCCTATTAATTGGTTGCATTAATTATACTAATTAATTAGATTAATTAAGCATTAGTTGATAAAACAATGTTTAATCGATTGCTTGATTGCGTCCTTGCTTGCTTCCCTCCCTCATCCCTTCCACTAAGATATTTGGGACTCCTTCCTTTCTTCTTTCTTTCCTTCCTATTTTTTACTTATATAGCAATTCATGTCTGGTAAGCTTAATTGACGCTGAATTGGTATTTGTGTCCCGCAGTCGCTCCCTGGGTAAGGCTTACTCCAACTGAAACAACGGTGGCAGTCATACCTGGAGAACGTATTGCAAAAAAATGTACCGCCTTCGGTCGTCCAAGTCCCATGATCCTTTGGAAGCGAAATGGCCGTACATTGCTAAATACGACGAGCACTAGTCTTACACTGAGTATTTCCAGTATACAACAACATCAGTTTGGAAAATACTCATGCGAAGCGTCCAATGAATTTGGCATGGCCTCGCAGGATTTTGATGTTACAGGTACGAATTTATTAATTGATTATCTTCATTTTTTGTATTTTTTTTAAAAGAAGAGATTCTTTTAAAATAGTTGCCAGCGGACCAACCTATTTTCTTGGCTGCATCCAGTCAGAGTGCGCATGTTCACATTCGAAATTTTTGCCTACAACCTTTCTTGAAATAGGTATTTGTCTGGAATGCTATAGAAGTATTTTGCGATTTAAATTCTTTGGTGAAAATAAGACTAGAATCATTCTAGTCTTATTTTCACCAAAGAATTTAAATCGCAAAATAAAATAATTAAAACACTATTTAATGATTAAAACACTATTTAAGGATGAGGTGACAATTTAAAGGAAGACGGATCTTCTTATGGCTTTTGTGAGAATGTTTATATCGCAAAAATGTTCCATACTTAAGCATTTTAAGTAAAACAGGAGTATTCATTATCAACATCATTAAATTTCAGAAATATTGGTAAATGTGGTAAGTACAAATTGTGAGCACAGTAAAATCAACAGTGGCAGTGGTAACATCAGGACACCTGGGTACCCTGCAAGAACATCAAGTCAATATTCATGTACTTGGACAATTTCTTCTAATTACCGAGTTCGTCTTACTTTCGATCGCTCAAGCTACAGGATTCACTCCAATGATATAGTAAATATTTATGATGGTGGCTCAAGCTCTTCCAAACAACTTGGGAGTTATACGGGACGTTTGTATTACCCCGTATCTGTCACCAGTTCTTCCAGAATGTTGTATATAACGTTTAACAGTGGTTACCGTAGATACTCGTCGTATTCATATAAATATGGATTTTCTGCTAAGTATCAAGGTACACGATGGTAAAACCCTTCTTGAGACCGAGATTATACGCCGAACTTCAGGTGCCGAATAGAACTCATGAATCAATTAAATTCGACAGTTAAATTTTGAACAAATTTATAAGACTTCAGACGAAACTGTGATTGAATTTTTACGTTGTATCTCAAATTTGCCAATGATATATATACTTCTAATTTGATTAAAATGAATTAAGACTTATCCACCATACTCGTATTTGTGGTCGGAAGCTACTATTCGACACTTAAAATTCGACGTCTAAATAAAATGCCGTAGTGATTCATTCATTTTAACGGACTAAAATAAGAACTGAATGGGTACATATGAAGTTCGGCGTATAAACTAGGCCCGTACTCTCATTCGTTGCGTATACACCTAATTGAAGAAACTTTGTCGGGTCCAAAAAGGTCAAATCATAGAAGCTAAGACCGAAAGGGTACTTGGGAAGACAAACAATTTGGCTAATTTCATACAAACAGCTCTCCAGCATAAAAGACTAGCATGCTGTTAATGTTACTAGCTCTACCTGCTTTACGATGCACTTGTACACCGTATATGCAAATTTGATCCCAATGTAGTGGTACTCAAAATCCCTTTTGGTCTTAGCTTCTATGATGTGGCCTTTTCAAACACGACTACGTTTTTTCAATTAGGTGTATGTTAAAATACATGCATTCATGCATACCCTATATTATTTTCTCGCTCATATTGGAATGCATGCTGAACTAATAAAAACTCAAATGTTTGAACGTGTTCCTGTTTTCTGTTGCCCATCTAGCACTATTTTGTGCAATTTAGTAATTTGTGTTTCATGCTCTTATGAAAATCACTCTTTTGCAA